TCAGCCACTCCTCAAATGGAGGTCGGTGCTCTCAGAGAAGGACTTTAAGACGTACTGAATTATATTTTTTTGTACCTAAATCACAACTTTAAAACTTGCAGAGCACACTGATCTGACTGTGTTTATATTTCAAGTTCAGAACAACATTAAAAACTAAAACGTGTGTTTATATTAAAGATTAATTTGAAAAATAAATAAATAAATCAAAGTCAGCCTGCACTGTCAGGGTCAGTGAATGCTGCAGATTAAAGTCATGAAGCTCACAGCCGACTGAGCAGAGAATCAGTACAGAAGATATACAAATATTAAGACTTATTTCAAATTTCAAATTTCAAATTCTGTATTTCAAAAAACAAACAATAAAATAAACTACATCTGATTAGTTTGAGGATTTAGAAACACTGGATGGTACAACAGGCCTAGTCTACATTTATTAAAAGTTATTTATTTAAACAGACTTCTAAAATAAACATCTGACTTTGGACCTCCTCTCTCTCTCTCTCTCTCTCTCTCTCTCTCTCCGAGCTTCTGAAGATATGAAAAAGTAAACACCATTAAACCAACTTCTAAATACTGAAATAAAGCTTATGAAGAATTCTTTACCTGTATGAGTTCACTCAAACTCAGATTAATTTCTCAGATTCGTCTAAAAATGTTGTTTGTTTACAATCCGTATCTCTCAGTCCTCACAGGGTGTATCTCTTCAACATCAGTGGTGGTAAAAACACGGATATAAAATAAAGAAAACACGTCCTCTATACATTTTCTGACAAACTTTCCAAACAGAAGGACACAATTAAATAAATTACTTTCTTTAAGGTCTATAAAACATGCATAGACGTTACCTTTAGATGGAGAAAAACAAACTGCGACACAGATTGATAAAGAAAGTAATTCAGCGACCTTAAACCTTAAACCAAACAAACCTGTTCTCCTTTAACCCAACCCCTTACACATTACACAGGCTACATTAAAGAGGAATTAAGGAATTGTGACTCCAGCAGCTTCTTCCAGAGAACAAATAAATAAATCAAAGTCTGCCTGCACTGTCAGGGTCAGTGAATGCTGCAGATTAAAGTCATGAAGCTCACAGCCGACTGAGCAGAGAATCAGTACAGAAGATATACAAATATTAAGACTTATTTCAAATGTAAAACAAGAACACACGTCATGATTTTCCCTTTAAAAGTCTAAAAAACAAACAATAAAATAAACTACATCTGATTAGTTTGAGGATTTAGAAACACTGGATGGTACAACAGGCCGAGTCTACATTTATTAAAAGTTATTTATTTAAACAGACTTCTAAAATAAACATCTGACTTTGGACCTCCTCTCTCTCTCTCTCTCTCTCTCTCTCTCTCTCTCTCTCTCTCTCTCTCTCTCTCTCTCTCTCTCGCTCTCGCTCTCTCTCTCTCTCTCTCTCTGTCTCTCTCGCTCTCTCATTTCTGACTCTATCCACTGTCCTGTCTTAAAATGAAGGCTTAAAAACCCAAAATAAACCTTTTTGTCTAACCTAAAAAAGTTATTCAAACTAAAGTGTAGGTTTAAATAATGACGTCAAATTGTCCTTTAATATTAATCAACTTTTATTTTTTCTAAAAGTTATCAATATGTAGACTAACAAATGTTATCTTAGGTTTTAGAGCGTAAAAGCTGCTGACGTGTTTCTTTATTTTGTATCCGAGCTTCTGAAGATATGAAAAAGTAAACACCATTAAACCAACTTCTAAATACTGAAATAAAGCTTATGAAGAATTCTTTACCCGTATGAGTTCACTCAAACTCAGATTAATTTCTCAGTTTCGTCTAAAAATGTTGTTCGTCTCAGGCCTCACAGGGTGTATCTCTTCAACATCAGCGGTGGTAAAAACACGGATATAAAATAAAGAAAACACGTCCTCTATACATTTTCTGACAAACTTTCCAAACAGAAGGACACAATTAAATAAATTACTTTCTTTAAGCAACATAAAACATGCATAAACGTTACCTTTAGATGGATAAAAACAAACTGCGACACAGATTGAGAATGAAAGTAATTCAGTGACCTTAAACCTTAAACCAAACAAACCTGTTCTCCTTTAACCCAACCCCTTACACATTACACAGACTACATTAAAGAGGAATTAAGGTATTGTGACTCCAGCAGCTTCTTCCAGAGAACAAATAAATAAATAAAAGTCTGCCTGCACTGTCAGGGTCAGTGAATGCTGCAGATTAAAGTCATGAAGCTCACAGCCGACTGAGCAGAGAATCCGTACAGAAGATATACAAATATTAAGACTTATTTCAAATGTAAAACAAGAACACACGTCATGATTTTCCCTTTAAAAGTCTAAAAAACAAACAATAAAATAAACTACATCTGATTAGTTTGTGGATTTAGAAACACTGGATGGTACAGTAGGCCTAGTCTATATTTGATTCAAAGTGTTTTCTTAAATAGCTCTGATTTTATGAATATTATTGACTCTGGTGCTCCAGAAGCTTCTTCCAGAGAATGTGTGACTACTGCTCAGTCTGTGTTTTTAACAGAGCAGACACTAATGTGATGTTAGTGTAACAGTGTTAATGATTGCACTTATTTCACTAGCTTTGATTGTGTGAATACAGTTTTACAATGGACTGGTACAAACTGTGATGAATCTCTCAGTTTGGTCCAAAATGTGGTTCGTTATACCCTCCTTATCTCTCAGGCCTCACAGGATGTAGGCTATCTCTCTAACTACAGCGGTGGTAAAAACACAGATATAAAGAAAGAAAACACGTCCTCTGGCCTCTACATTATACTCTATACTGACACACTTTCCAAACAGAAGGACACAATTAAATAAATCAGTGTTGAAATTACTTTCTTTAAGGTCTATAAAACATGCACAAACGATAGGCCTACCTTTAGATGGAGAAAAACAAACTGCTACACGAGTTGAAAAAAAAAGTAATTCAGCGACCTTAAACCTTACCTCTCTCTCTCTCTCTCTCTCTCTCTCTCTCTCTCTCTCTCTCTCTCTCTCTCTCTCTCTCTCGTCTTAAAATGAAGGCTTAAAAACCCAAAATAAACCTTTTTGTCTAACCTAAAAAAGTTATTCAAACTAAAGTGTAGGTTTAAATAATGACGTCAAATTGTCCTTTAATATTAATCAACTTTTATGTTTTCTAAAAGTTATCAATATGTAGACTAACAAATGTTATCTTAGGTTTTATAGCGTAAAGGCTGCTGACGTGTTTGTTTATTTTGTACCCGAGCTTCTGAAGATATGAAAAAGTAAACACCATTAAACCAACTTCTAAATACTGAAATAAAGCTTATGAAGAATTCTTTACCCGTATGAGTTCACTCAAACTCAGATTAATTTCTCAGTTTCATCTAAAAATGTTGTTTGTTTACAATCCGTATCTCTCAGGCCTCACAGGATGTATCTCTTCAACATCAGCGGTGGTAAAAACACGGATATAAAATAAAGAAAACACGTCCTCTATACATTTTCTGACAAACTTTCCAAACAGAAGGACACAATTAAATAAATTACTTTCTTTAAGGTACATAAAACATGAATAAACGTTACCTTTAGATGGATAAAAACAAACTGCGACACAGATTGATAATGAAAGTAATTCAGTGACCTTAAAAGTCTAAAAAACAAACAATAAAATAAACTACATCTGATTAGTTTGAGGATTTAGAAACACTGGATGGTACAACAGGCCTAGTCTACATTTGATTCAAAGTGTTTTCTTAAATAGCTCTGATTTTAGGAATATTATTGACTCTGGTGCTCCAGAAGCTTCTTCCAGAGAATGTGTGACTACTGCTCAGTCTGTGTTTTTAACAGAGCAGACACTAATGTGATGTTAGTGTAACAGTGTTAATGATTCCACTTATTTCACTAGCTTTGATTGTGCTGATACAGTTTTAAAATGTAGGACTTAAAACATCACAACTTCACAACTTGGATATAATCGACATTTCCCACTCCTCATTAAGACTTTTAATGGCCCTTATAGCTGTCATCAGGATCAGTTAGGCCTGCACACTTTAAGGTCTTCATTTTGAGTTAAATATAACAATAATATACGTTTTTAATAAAACAATATTTTCATTATAAAACATTAATATAATCAAGAATATCTCTATAAGAGGAGCTTTCTGTTATTTCTGTGGTTGGGGGCGGGACATCATTAAGAGTTGTGTTCCTCACCTGGCCAGGAGAGGCAGAGCACGTGGCAGGTTGATCACAGGAGGATGTTTGAGAGTGGTTCTGTGTATCATTCAAAAGTTTAATAAAGAGAAGACTGACCCATGAGTGAAGTTTCCTTTACCCCCCTTTCGGTTGATGCAGCCCATGAGGTGAACTGTTGTGTTCTGGTTGTTGTTTCTATATTATAGCCTACCTGAAGCTAATGGCTAATATGTTAATAGTAAAGCTAATGGCTAACATGCTAACAGGCTAAACTAGTGGCAATCATGATAGCATGAATGACAGCCTGCCATTGTAGTCCGTGTTTAAAAAGCTACATTGTGTAAATATGTCAATTTGTGTTTGTGACATGTTTTTGATGCTCTCTTATTTTATGCTTTGTATATTTTGTTTAGTTCTCACAGCATGATTGATGGCATGGACATGCTCATGAATACCTGTAGCTCAAAGAACACCTTGGTTTCATGATTTCAACTTGAGGTTAGTAACAGCCATTCACGTGCTCATAACTCGTAAACGGGACATTTCCGAGGAGCACATCAAGGCAGCGTAGTCTCACCCCTGTTCTTCTTAAACCACACCCCTCAAATGAATAAAAATGTAAACTACATACCTGATGTTCTTCATTCTGCCGCTGAAGCACAAAGGAGCTCTGTGCTACGTCTTCTAGCGTCCATGTTTGTTGCTTTGTGTGCTTATGAAAAGTGTCATCAGTAGAAGCGACGATATAATCAAGTTAATGAGCGGATGTTGTTTGAAAATTAAAAAAAACAACATACAATTAATGAAATACATTACTTGGCTTAACAGATGGTATTGTTGATTTATTAAACAAAAGAGGTGACGGTCAACAGAAAATATTCAAACTCTCTCACCACACATCTTATTTATATAATTACAAGGTAAGACCACCCCACTGCAAATGACCTATTAGGAGCAAAGCAGAGATAAAACATACATATGATGGCTCCTACAGGTGTATATACCTTTATACAAAAGGAGAGATTACATCGCCAAAATATTTGATTAACATTTACACCTGAAGCCGCCTTGAAAAGTATCCTCTCAAGTTTAGCATTGTTTGAAAAAAACATGGAAAGTGGTTTATCGTTCCTCTATTGAAATAAAGGTGGGTATGTCTTGATTGGCTGAATAGGAAGTAGTGCTGGGCGATATGGCCTAAATTTGATATCACAATATTTTTTTGCCTAATGTCGATATTCAATATTTATCGTATTAAAGTTTATAAATGTAGCCTATAAAACTGAATCTCCACTGTATAAAAAGAAAATACCACTGACCTGACCACTGTGATCACTGGCTCAGGAACATTACCTTTGATTAGAAAAATAACAGTCACCGATTTACTCCTGAACCATTCTGATGCAAAAGTCAATAACAACTTTTATTAAATATTTAAACTTGTATTTTTCTTATATCTATGTGCTCATGTTTATTCACCATGCTGTAAGAGTCTACTTAATCTGATATTAATATGAGGCTGTGATAGATCTGGAATCTCTCCTTCTTTCTTCTCTGTGAGAAACTCTTCATCTTTAGATCTTTAGGAGCTCTCTTCAGGGCTAAGGTGCTTTGTGAATAACTTTGATCTTTACCAGGATCTAGTCTTCAACTTTAACGTGTTCCAGCTCCTCCAGCTGTCTGTCACTGTGGATCTAACTTTTCTCCGTTCTGTTTTCGCCCTGCTGTCACTCTCGACTTTTCCGGTGATTTCTATTCCTTGAATGCTGATTTAAGCTCGGCTTTTGTCGGGATCTGATGGTTTTAAAACCGTTTTACCAAACGCAGTGAAGCCGCCAGCTGAACGTGCAATCAGCTGGACTCTGTCAATTATAATGTCGAGCCCTGCGTTATGAGCCTTTTTTTGGAAGTAATTCGACCTCGCTCGCATCTTTCTCCTCCGTGTTGGTCGCTTTTAAGAGCTGGGCTACTCAGCGGCAGGAGTGAAGTCTCCTCCGCCCTTTCGTCTCCGCGCAACAAGCGCTGCTGCGGAAATCTCACGGAGCAACGAAATCTTCGACAAAAGAAGCAAGAAAGAAAACTTGGAAGTAGTTTAAAAATAAAATCGATGTTCCCTTTTCCATATCAAGCATTAATTAAATATCGATCGAATCGAGCTTCATGATATATCGCCCAGCACTAATAGGAAGGAGACATCTGATTGGCTGCAGACATTTCTCTGCTGAAAAAAATGTATTTGTGAATTTGAATCACGACAGGGGAGTCTCAAAATTCCCAAACACAAATGCAGTGAGGTTCACCCAAGACAGACAGTTTGTAAATGCAGACTGAAAAGTTTGTACATAAATGTAACAAGATCCAATAAATGCTTTTCTTTCACATTAATCAAAACACAACAACAACAAAACAGTTGTTGCATCTGATGTTAAAGGTAGAAGCCAGCCAGCGTGTCATCTGGTATAAACAGCTTGAACAGAAAGATTTTAAAAAAATCATTCATTATTTTAAATGTTTCATGATTAAAGATACATGATGATGAATGTGCCGTCACTCAATGATGTTTAGATCCCAACTCCAGCAAACTTCTGGGATGTAGGGAGACTCGACCTGGCCCCTTTCCTGATAAAAACCCATAGACAGAACTTCAATTACAGACAGTACTACTAAAAGGTCCATTTAGAGTTGTATAATCTTTTGGTTCATAACATCTGTTCATAGTGAAAAAAGGATGCACAACACGATTTCTACAAGATGTATAAATGACAAAAGAGCTGCAAGATGGTGGTGACCTCTTACAAATAATCCAAGCGCTGTCTCAAACAGTCACTCATAACTGATGAAACTTTATTAGAAAAACAATACTTTTTATTAGCAGGAATAAAGACAGCAGGGCACCATGTTCAAAAAGCTGCAGCAGGGTCCGTGGTTGGCGTTTTTCCTGCAATGTGTCCCCACTACCGAGTAATACCCGGTACACAGTGAGCACGCCAGCTTCGTCTGAATATATGAGGGGATAAAAGACATCTGAATGACACAGAGTCAACTTACCTCTGTTTGATGCCTGGGTCCAATCATCTGCCCCGATGCTGTCCTCCTCCTCCCTCTCCATCCTGCATCAAGTAACAAGCACTGTGTGATTAAACTTCATCAGAGTGAAAATACACATGAAAATGATGACAGGTTGTTGAACAAAGCAACAGGTGTTATTAATACTGTTTGTCTGTTTTCTTGTATCTGTACATCTTAATGTTTCTTGTAAGTGAGTCTGTGTCTTTAAGTTTTGTATGTTTTATTGAGTTACTTGGCTGCAAAGCAAATTTCCCCATGAAGTTGAAGTTGGTACAAAATGTTTTCTGATCCAGACAGGACAGCATGGACAGTCAAGTTTTGTTAACAAGTAGTCCCTACAACAACATATCGTCTCTAAAACAATTTCCCAGCAGCAAATTTCCCGATTTGATATCAACCAGGAAGTTTATATTTAAAGAGGTCATATTATGTTCTTTTTGTGGTTCATATATTTAATCTCTGTATCTACTAAAGTATGTTCACAATATCTAAAGTTCTAAAAAAGTGTCTGTTTTCATGTTCTGCCGCTCCATGCACCGGCTCGCTTCTGACTCTCTCTCTAAGGCTCTGAAGCGCCCACGTTCAGAGTCCCCACGTGTGCCAAGTCTGATCTGATTGGTCGGCCTGTCGGCTCTGCAAAAACATTAGCACGTTAGCACTACTGTGCTACTGCAGGCTACGGCATATCGTGGGCGTTGCTACAGAAGTTAACGGGCGTGCAACATGAGCTGCAGGGCTTGCCACAACGAGCCAATGGGCTTAGATCAGTGACATCACACTGACAAGACGTCACACTGACAATTTTTTTTCGAGGGGGGCTAGAACTGAGTGTTACATGCAGCTAATACTACAGCTAACAGGAGGAGGTAGGAGAAGCTGCGTTTCCGCGGACTTTGAATTTTTGCACATAGATGTGCCTAAACATGATAATGTATGCATGTGCATGCAAAAATGTGTACTAATTCCAGAGACATTTGAATGTTGAGAAAATCTTACCTGAAATCCATGTGTCGATCAGATGAAAGGTTTCTCTTGTGCCTAAGTTTGTTGGGAAGAGAGAGGGAGAGAGATTAGATCGTTAGATATTAGAAAATTATTTACATCGGTCTACCTTTATCCTATTCCCCTACCCACATGGGGGAGGGGTTACTGCCCTTTGTGATGTCATGAAGGGAAAATCTCCAAACGGCCTGTTAGAACACATTTTCTGAAAAGTGGAGCAGCTAAAGACGGAGAGGATGAACTTCTCCCTTTATTCTTAATATTGGGGGGTTTGGAGACAGACTAGCGACACATATTACTGTTAGAAACACTTGTTAAAGTGTATTTTAAATATGTAACCTTTAATTTATGATATAAAGTCTTTACAGTCAGACGATAACGAGACACCAAACATGTCTCAGGGGACCAGGGTGTGTGTGTGTGTGTGTGTGTGTGTGTGTGTGTGTGTGTGTGTGTGTGTGTGTGTGTGTGTGTGTGTGTGTGTGTGTGTGTGTGTGTGTGTTGTGTAATAATTGCAATGACATTTAAAGGTTGATTAAATCTTACCTTAGAGATGAGCTTTTTTCTTTGAAGGACCTGACAGTTGACATCATGCAGTGGTTCAGGTCAGTGTAAGACTACATGTAACTGTAAGACAGTTTGAAGATTGCAATGTTAAACATCCAGACCCAACAAATGCTGAAAAGTACAAATTAGGAATCAGTCCAGTAAAAGTTGAATGTGTTCATTCCAAGGTTAGGATTGTTAACGAAATCAAACAAATAACAAAAACTCAAGTGTAAAAAACATTTTCATTAACTGAAACTAAAATTTAAAACAACTTTACCAAAAACATAACAGAAACAGTATTGTGTAAAAAAAAAGACCTAAAATAAAAAAATAGAGAAAATGTCTTTAGTTTTGTCTCTGACACAAACGTACAGAGTGACACTCGGCCTGTCATTACATGTTGTCTCGAGTATTTCAGTTTCAATTCTGGATAAACTTACTGACCACACAAGTTAAAACAGGTGTGTCATACATGCAGGTAAGTGCAGCAACTTAAGCAGAAACTTAAGCAACAACACCTCAACCTGTCCTTCAAACAGGTTAGGACAGGCTACATTATAAAGTCAACATCCCAACCTGGCAGCCTGCCAGGCCATTTCCCCGTTTGAGCCAAGCTTCAGTGAAAGATAAGACAAAGTCAACACAGTTTAATCAACTCTTAAAGGCTGAGAGACAATTCGACCTATCTTTTTCACATTCATTTTTATCCTTTTCTAAGCTTATTTTTAAAATGCAGCATTGTCCCCCCTAGGTCTCATAACTGTGGCACGTTGAAGATAACGCGGTAATAAAAAAAATTAAGAACAGGATGTTCTCCTCTGTTCGTTTCCATTCTCGGACACAATCTTAAGTTTGAATGTCTCTATTTGAACAACGAATGACACAATGAGGTTTCTATCATAAAACATTAAGTTACATTACCTGCAGACGGAAAAACAGCGACGCAGAGTAAACCCAGAAACACAGTGAAGAAAAAACTACACATTAAATAACCACACCCTCAAATAACCTGTTTTACAAGAGATTAAAAACAAACCACAAGCCAGCAGAGAAATGAAGGCTGGTGCTTCATAGAAGTAGCCTGCAAAAATATTTCAGTTGTGTTTTTTTACAGGTTACTATTAAAATTCTGAAGTAGATATATTTAAACTATGGATCATTGTCAATGCATTCACATTTCCAACACCTACTAAAAAGGCCAAAAACAACCAAAAACAATTTAATAAGTTGTAGCTGGTTTTTGAACATCATCCCTGACACCTGCTTTTTTTTCAGAGGAGAGGATTGTCTGTTTGTTCACACTACTGAGAGGTGGTCTCTATACCTTTAATGTTCATGCTGAATCTGTCAACATTTCAGATGTTGAATGTCAGCATGGGTTTCAGTACAAATAATTATAACAAAATAACTCATGTTTGTAAATCACAGATTTTTGTCTGTAAAAACTTCTTTTAGGTGGTCATGAAATAAACAAGTTGTTGATAATAAGGAGCGTAGCTGACCTGATTGACAGACGGGGGGGCGTTGCAGCTGTTCGTCGGCAGGCTTAAAACCCGCCTCAGCTCTTAGCCTGTCGTTAGGTTGAGACAGCATTTCCAGCGTGGCGACCGCCATCAATCAGATTCCAAAGACCCGTTCAGAAATAAAGTGTGGTGCTTCATCCATGATTTTTCACAGTATTATTAAACCCCCCTCATGTAAAAACACCCCTTTTACAGCAGAAAATAAACATGTCATGTTAAGCACTTGGGGAGATTTGCATTTACTTTGGATATATTAAGGATAAGAGTTATTCAAATTAGGGGTGTGGCTAAGTTGACTTACAGGTTGGCACGCTGTGGTCGTTTGTCAGGAGAGTAAAGGTGCCCGTCAGCCCCGGCCAAAAGATAGCTTAGACAGCATTTCCAATATGGCCATTGCCATCGTTTTGAATCCAATGGATGACGTCACTGAGATCACGTCCATGACTGTTAAAAGTCGACATAAAGAGCTTTCAAACTTGCAGAAATCTCCTGAAAGACTCCTGATATTTCCAGGAGGAGCTTTATATATATGTGAACGCAAACAGCCACATTTTTCGCTCGGACTTCACCCGGAGTTTCTCCTGCCAGACCCCTGGTATTTTTTTCCACAGCAAGTCTGAGTGGGCTGATGTGAGAACGCAGCAGGATATTCTCCGGAGAATTCAGCTCGAGCCAATAGGAGGGGGGAGTGACGTTTCTACACCGTTACTGCTGCACAGGCTTTCTACAAGACACAGACACCACCACACATGTATAAACATTTGATTTTATTCTCAACAGAATATTCCAACAAAAGGATGTAGTACAGCACGTTCAGCGTAATAAAGGAAGCAGAGGAATAATAAAAGAAAAAGACTGAATCTGGGTGGACATAAAGTGCAGGTTCAAACACTGGCTGAATCATGACTTTGTGGTGTCACAGGAAGTGCAAACTTACAACACAACCAAACACATGGAAGAACTGAGATGTTGGTGTTTAAAACAGTTTGAGTGGATGACCTTGTGAATGTGCACGACACTGAAAACGACCACTGTTACACTAAACCCTAACTCTTCTTCTTCTCTTTCGGCTCTGAAAAACGACAACCTAACGACACATTGTGGGACCAGAAAAACCATTAAAATGTGTCAAAATTGAAAGCCAATCACTTGGAACGTGACACAGACAGATCCGGTGAAGTTTCTTATCTTCTCTCTTAGATTGATAACAAAATGGGCCCTGAAATGCAAAGAACATGACCTACAGCTGCTTTTCTTTCTGCTTTAAAGGGTTAAAGGTGGATCTGTCCGTTACTCTGCATAAGATGATGTTTAATCTGGAAGATCTGTGTTCAAACTGGTTTAACCGTTAAGTGAAAACACTCTGGAAGGAGAGTCAGCGAAAAAAAAAAAAAGGGATCCATAAAGTGTCACATCTGGTGAATAAAACCGTCATCTAACTGCAGCATTTAAAGTCATTGACCGAGCCTCTATATCTGAAGGCATCTCTGAAGTTATAAAAAAATGTTATGTGGAAGGTAAAATGTCACATTTAGAGTGAAAGCAAAATACATTTAAAGGAAGAAGCGTCGCAAAAGCATCAGATACTTGCTGGTGTTGTGAAGTGTCTTCTGCTGCTCAGCTGTCAGGAACATTAAACGCCCTGATTCAATCAGAGACAAACTTTGACAAAATGTAAAATGAGATCTTCAGCATCATTGTAGTAAACAGGTACAAAGTACTGGTTAAAGAGGTAATAAAGTGTTTCTCATTTGTATAAACGTTTCTTGCTGAGATTACCGTAATAAAAAAATGTCATCGAGAGGCCGAAAGATCAGATGGAAAACGCAGAATCAGAGCTGGCGTTAATAAAAGCAAAACTCTACCGAAAACCCCCCGGAGAGACGGGGGTACGAACACTTGGGTGTGTGCTGCCTGGAGGGTCAGTTCAGAAGGCCGTCTGCAGGTCACAGGTCACGAGCTTCATACAGGAGTTTGGCCGCCTGCGGGGAAAAACACAAACATGAAGAATAGATCAAATAAACAGTCAGCCACATGTTTGGTACTATCAGGACTGTTATCCTAAAAACACACACAAGGGGCGGCTGTGTCAGTCGGTCGTCTCTCAACTGAAAGGTTGAGGGTTCGATCCTGCAGCCACATGCCCGATGTGTCCGTCGGCAAGACACTTAACCCCGAATTGCTCCATCTGCTTCGTCAGCGGTATGAATGGGATTAGTTACTTCTGATGGACTCTTTACTCAGCAGCCTCTACCGTCAGTGTGTCAATGTGTAGGAGTGAATGTGTAGGTGTGAATGTGTAGGAGTGAATGTGTAGGTGTGAATGTGTAGGAGTGAATGTGTAGGTGTGAATGTGTAGGAGGTGTGAATGTGTAGGTGTGAATGTGTAGGTGTGAATGTGTAGGTGTGAATGTATAGGAGTGAATGTGTAGGTGTGAATGTGTAGGAGTGAATGTGTAGGAGTGAATGTGTAGGAGGTGTGAATGTGTAGGTGTGAATGTGCAGGAGTGAATGTGTAGGTGTGAATGTGTAGGAGTGAATGTGTAGGAGTGAATGTGTAGGAGGTGTGAATGTGTAGGTGTGAATGTGTAGGAGGTGTGAATGTGTAGGAGTGAATGTGTAGGAGTGAATGTGTAGGAGTGAATGTGTAGGAGGTGTGAATGTGTAGGTGTGAATGTGTAGGAGGTGTGAATGTGTAGGAGTGAATGTGTAGGAGTGAATGTGTAGGAGGTGTGAATGTGTAGGAGTGAATGTGTAGGAGGTGTGAATGTGTAGGAGTGAATGTGTAGGAGTGAATGTGTAGGTGTGAATGTGTAGGAGGTGTGACTGTGTAGGTGTGAATGTGTAGGAGGTGTGAATGTGTAGGAGTGAATGTGTAGGACTGAATGTGTAGGAGGTGTGACTGTGTAGGAGTGAATGTGTAGGAGTGAATGTGTAGGAGTGAATGTGTAGGAGTGAATGTGTAGGACTGAATGTGTAGGAGGTGTGACTGTGTAGGAGTGAATGTGTAGGTGTGAATGTGTAGGAGTGAATGTGTAGGAGTGAATGTGTAGGAGGTGTGAATGTGTAGGAGTGAATGTGTAGGAGTGAATGTGTAGGAGTGAATGTGTAGGAGGTGTGACTGTGTAGGTGTGAATGTGTAGGTGTGAATGTGTAGGAGTGAATGTGTAGGAGTGAATGTGTAGGAGTGAATGTGTAGGTGTGAATGTGTAGGAGGTGTGAATGTGTAGGAGTGAATGTGTAGGTGTGAATGTGTAGGTGTGAATGTGTAGGAGTGAATGTGTAGGAGTGAATGTGTAGGAGGTGTGAATGTGTAGGTGTGAATGTGTAGGAGTGAATGTGTAGGAGTGAATGTGTAGGAGTGAATGTGTAGGAGGTGTGAATGTGTAGGAGGTGTGAATGTGTAGGAGTGAATGTGTAGGTGTGAATGTGTAGGACTGAATGTGTAGGAGTGAATGTGTAGGAGTGAATGTGTAGGAGTGAATGTGTAGGAGTGAATGTGTAGGTGTGAATGTGTAGGAGTGAATGTGTAGGAGTGAATGTGTAGGAGTGAATGTGTAGGTGTGAATGTGTAGGAGTGAATGTGTAGGAGTGAATGTGTAGGTGTGAATGTGTAGGAGTGAATGTGTAGGAGTGAATGTGTAGGAGTGAATGTGTAGGAGGTGTGAATGTGTAGGTGTGAATGTGTAGGAGGTGTGAATGTGTAGGTGTGAATGTGTAGGTGTGAATGTGTAGGTGTGAATGTGTAGGTGTGAATGTGTAGGAGTGAATGTGTAGGTGTGAATGTGTAGGTGTGAATGTGTAGGTGTGAATGTGTAGGAGTGAATGTGTAGGTGTGAATGTGTAGGAGTGAATGTGTAGGTGTGAATGTGTAGGAGTGAATGTGTAGGAGTGAATGTGTAGGAGGTGTGAATGTGTAGGTGTGAATGTGTAGGAGTGAATGTGTAGTGTGAATGTGTAGGAGAATGTGTAGGTGTGAATGTGTAGGAGTGAATGTGTAGGTGTGAATGTGTAGGAGTGAATGTGTAGGAGGTGAATGTGTAGGAGTGAATGTGTAGGAGTGAATGTGTAGGTGTGAATGTGTAGGAGTGTGAATGTGTAGGAGTGGAATGTGTAGGTGTGAATGTGTAGGAGGTGTGAATGTGTAGGAGTG